GCCTTCTCTTGTGCAGGCTGAACAGGTTCAGGTTCCGTAGCCTTTCCTTGTAGGGCCTGCCCTGCTGCCCCCTGATCATGCGAGTGGCCTCCTCCGGACCCTTTCCATGATGCCCACGTCCCTCCTGAAGTGCGGCACCCAAAACTGGACACAGTACTCGAGCTGCGGCCTGATCAGTGCCGCATAGAGGGGGAGGATCACCTCCTTGGACCTGCTTGAGATGCATCTGTGGATGCACGACAAGGTGCAGCTGGCCTTCCTGACCGCGTCCCTACACTGCTGGCCCATGTTCATCTTGGAGTCAATAATGACTCCAAGATCCTTTTCCGCCTCTGTACTGACGAGAAGGGAGTTCCCCAGCCTGTAGGTATGGTGCCGGTTGTTCCTCCCCAGGTGCATCACTTTGCACTTGTCAGTGCTGAATAGACTGTTTCAATAGACTGCAAGCAGATCAGTTTAAAAGACCTATCCCTTCCATCTCCCAGGCCTCAGCACTATCCATTACAGCCCATTTCCCCTCCCCAAGAACTAACAGTAAGCATGCCAACTGTATATAAAGTTTGTAATGGTGCATCATGCTTGTGTTCTGGGCAGGTTTGCTCATGCTTAACAGGGGCCTTTTGGGGGTATATAAATGAAGGTATGAATAGAGTTCAAGTTATAGAAGCTCTGCCTTGCATGGATATGTGTTGTGTAGCATGTAGACCTTGTGTTGGTTTAGTTTAGGCCTCTCGGGAAGAGGTTTGAGATAACCTGTAGTAAGTCTTACTTCGGAGGGTCTCCACGGGGGTGTCTGCTGGTACAGCTTGCAAACTCTTCCTCTGCAGAAAAAGCCTTAACTGTGTAGCTCCTTCACCAGGCAGGACTAGTATTGCTGAGTTTTCTTGCTCAGTTCTCTGCACATGAGGGCTTTGGTTAGAAACCCTAGAGCAGTAGTCCTTGGCCTTTGCTGACCCCTGGGCAGCAATAGAGCCGAGCCAGTAAGTGCCTGCGGGCAACATCAGGCTGTCCTCTCGCTGTCCTCGCTTTTAATTTTTTAATTTCATGAGCAACACCTGAGTGTCCTGTGGACAACCTGTGGCTTGGAAACCCTGGGTTTGGAACCAACCGTCCTAGTCCTTTTTTGCTAGAGGTCATTGCTTCACCCGTGCAGGGTAGCAGTGGCCTGCTAAAGGTTTGCTGGGGAAGGCCAACCTAAGTTGCAAATGCCCAGCCTTCACAGTACAGGGGCTAGAGAACTGTTGGGTAAGGGCCTGCCTTCTCCCAAAACAGAGAGGCCAGTCTGTTCCTCATTTCTGAAGCCCAGCCGCCGAATTGGAAAGCCCAATTGAGGACCTTCATCCAAGTCTCGTCATTCTACTCGGTCTGTGCTGATTTACAGCTCGGTGTGTCTGGGTCATCAGAAAAACAGAAGTGCTCACAGTAATTTGCCAGGGGTCCATGAAGTAGGCAGTGCCAGCCTTCAGGGCAGGTTGTGTTCCCATTGTAAATCCACTGTGCAACAAGATATTCTCACACCTTCATTGCTGTACTGTTTGAAAGTCCCTGCCTCCTTCTCCCCCTTTTCTTTGGCTAAGGGAATTGCACAGTGCCCAGAGAAACTTGCACCTAATTCCCTTAGGCCTCTGAAATTCCCAGACTAAAAGCAAGGTTCAAAAAAGAAGCCACCGTAAAACAGAATACTATGAAAATGAAGTAGTGTGAAGCTCGGGATTACTCCGTCCTCTGCGCACCCCATTCTGCCCTTCTGCAGCCTGCATGCTCGCTGTGTGATGTCGCACACCATCAGTGCTGCCGTAACAGGGACAAAATGTCAGTGTTCGGTTCTGAGTAACTGCCCTTGCCCCTGCCATGTACAGTCCAGTGTACCAAGGGAAGGAGATGAGGGGAGTTTGGTGTTAATTTTTTTCTAAAAATGACGAGGGCTATGCGAAGTCTGTCCTTGTTTTGACTCCAGAAGGCTGTTTCACATAAGGCCTCCACAGATTTTTCCTGAACAGTCCTCTTTTCACGTTTTCCATGGACCCGCACTGTGCTCTGTTTCAGACTGATCTAGTGAATTCACATATTGTAGCTGCTGCTGCTTGGGTAATTATTTGCCCAGATTCTGCTGTACTCTTTTCTACACAGTCTTGATTGCTTCCCAGACAAAAAACATCCTTCACCTCCTATAGACAGTGTTTTAAAGTATCACCAAGACGGGCAGGGGAAAAACAACATTTCCAAATACATTTTTTCCAAATGCACATGAAGGCCTGATCTACAGCCCTTTTGTACTGAATAAGCTATTTTGGTCCGGGCTGCGTGTATGGGTTCTCCCCCCGCCGCTTTCTATGGTTAGGTTGGCAAAACCCTTAACATGGACGCATTTGCACAAATTTAGGCAAATGCAAGTTATTGAGCTCCATATTGGGAGTCACTGGGTGAAATTCTGCTGCCTGTGTTGTATAGGAGTTCATGCACAATAATCTAACGATCCCTTCTGGTCTTAAAAATCTATGAATACATGAATAAAGGCATCTGCTTGTTCACACTAAGGTACTACTTTAACTGTGTTAAATCAAAGAGTTAGTCGTAGAAAAACAATATGTACACTAGCCCTTAGAACTGTCCAAGGCCTGTGGACATGTCTGGGGCTCATGTCTGTCAACATGTAAACTAATATTTTAAAACATAGCTTCATAGTTGGTAGGGTCAGAAGGGACCTGAGCAGATCATCAAGTCCGACCCCCTGCCGTGGGCAGGAAAGAGCGCTGGGGTCAAACAACCCCGGCTAGGTGATTATCTAGCCTCCTTGTGAAGACCCCCAGGGTAGGAGCGAGCCTATTCTTCTAGTGTGCATCTAGTTTAACACCTTCTAAAAACACGTCAGCTGGCTCTAAATGAAGAGCCTTGGCACTGTCACGGTATGGCCTGAAAGGAGAAACACGGTTCATGCTCAGTGTTACGGAACTGAAGCAAAGAAGTTAGTCCCAACGCATGTCTTCAAATCCCAGCTTTGCTACTACCCTGCTGCATGGCTGGGGGCAAATCACCAGCTCTCCTTTCCTATTCTCTGCTCTGCCCACCTCTTGAGCTCATGTGGCAATCGGATCATTGTTGATACGGACACTTTTAAGGGGAACAACTTTGCAAGGCTTAAAAATATCATCTCAGTTTCCATCCTCTTAGTTGTGACTGTTGGTCATTTCCTGTCTCTCTTGGCCGCATAATCACATTATTTTGACTGGGATGAAAAGTGTTGCTGAAGCATCTTTTGTAGAAGCAGGGCTTGGGAAATGGGAGAGAACCTGCTGCCTGCGCTGCAGCAGGGATTCTGCTTTGCTCTTACTCTCTCCATCTGTTTTTTTTTTTGGCAGCGTAGAGCATTGGGCTCGCATTTTTGGAAATGCTTCAGTCCCTTGGGAGGAAGGTTCACAACTTAGGTTCTTTTATCACTTAGGCAATTCCAAAACTATTACCCTCAACTTTAATGGCACTTGTGGAGAGGGGAAGGGGAAAAAATGAGGAACAAGGGATCCCATCTGCACTGCAGATGGACTTATCTGAGGGATTGATTTCCACTCCCCAGCGCTGCCCTCAGTAGTAGTAGTGATGACCTTTCCAGCAGTCTTTTACCTTACCTACCCTGAGGAGCTCGCAGTGTGAGAACAGACAGAGGGAAAGGGAAGGAGAACAAGAAACAGAGTTTTAATATTTCTTTTGCTGTCAGCGGCATGGCTGCTTACAATTGGGCTCTGGTCGTGGGTGTCATACGCAGGTCTTTTTCTCCATCTAACTGGCCATTCCATATGCACCATTTGGCTCTCCATGCAGTTCTCCTACCTTTTTCTGAAGCCCCTAGCATCAGCTGAAGCTTGGAGATAGGAAGCTAGCCTAGAAAATTCAACTGTGGTGTTGGCCTTTGCCTGTGTCCTCTTTTTGCATAGGAATGATAACTTGCCTCTGGAAAAAACTGGATATTTCCCATGAGAGGAGAGGTCTCTTTCAGTAGAACATGGCTTAAACCTTGTTTGATAAAAGGCCTGCCCTTGTCCTAAGGCAGGGGTGGGCAATTATTTAGGGTGGAGGGCCACTTACTGAGTTTTGGCAAGCCATCGAGGGCCGCGTGATAGGCAGCCGGGGCAGATAAATATTAATTTTCTAAATTTTTTAGGGGCCCCGCAAGCCGGATAGAATGGCCTGGCGGGCCGCACCTGCCCCCGTGCCACATTTTGCCCACCCCTGTCCTAAGGGGATCAGTGGAAAATCTTGCAAAGGGAAAAAGATTGAATGTTGAAAAAGTAATGTGAGGAACTTAAGTCATGGCAAACACCAGAAGTTACACAGGGATACGACTTTCTACTGCACTTTGCAGTGAGGTCGTAATACTTCATGTTTGGGAAGTGCGAAGATTATATAATACAGTGCAAAGATTATGCTATGCAATGGAAAGTCCAAAGCATTAACACAAGCATTCCTACCAGGTCTGGCACTGGAGGGGAAGTTTGTTTCCATGTAACCATGTGTATCATATTAAACCAATTACTACGTATTAGAAAAAATGTAGTTTTCAGATACAAGAGCTGTGGTAAAATTAGCCAGTTTAAAAACTGCATAATGTCCAAGACATTCCAGTTCTTGACAGACCACCTTTGATATTACAGGGGGGGTTTTTTAAAGGAAGGTCCTTGAAAAATGTTTTTTTTTTTCCTTTTGGTCTATTAATATTGATACGGTTCTTTTCAGCAAATGAGGATCTGATTCTACTCAACTTGCTGTCAGATGTGTGATGTGAATACATTGGAAACTAGTGAAAAATTTGCTTTGACTAACTTCTTTTAATATTAGGGATCTTATCTGCTGCTTACGATAGTTGTTGGGCCACAATTTGCATTCCAAGTTGGCAGTTTTCCTTTTTTACTATTCTACCTCCTGCCAACTGATTTGGGGCTTGGTTTATTAATTGTGAATCTCAAATGCAAATATAATCACCTGCTTGTTTTTCCTTTCAATTTCAGGCTTCCAAGCCATGGGAATCCATGCAAACTGCATCATATACTGAAGCATGATGCAAGGCAATGGGAATAATGAAGAATGTTAATATATTGCAGCATATTGGTTCAATGAAGAGTGCTGCATTTCAGCACATTGCACGGCACTGAAACCCATTCCACCACTGACTGCTAAAAACCCTTCACATCTTTTTTTTTTTTCCCCTTGACACCTGTTACCCCCTATTTTAAGCTTTGTGTGCAAAGTAAGGGAGCTGCAATAGAAGCAGCGCTGCGCAGACCAAGACCACTGAGGCCATTTTTGTCTACCAGTAACTTGAGCATCTTTCAGATAAACCTTTTTCCGTCTCTGCTGTGCATGAAAGTTGAATTCAGTCTCATTTTTACAGTAGTGAGTGCTGCTGATTGTTCCTTCGGCATTTCTCAAATTCTTGGTATCTATGAATTATGATCTAGCTCCACAGTCAGGGGCTCCTATCATAAAAAGTAAAAAATGGTGCACACTCCAATCAGTAACCTTCAGTGACCCCATCTGCCCTGGATTTGGTATGCTCTCCAATGATAGCTTGAGCCTGCTGTACAAAGTGTGATTTCTTCCTAGTGGTGATTTGTCTAGCTTCCCAGACAAAAGACTTCAGAAAGCTTATGAAGGTAGAGAAGCAGGAGGAAAAGGAAGCCTGCTTGAGAGGAGTGTAAGGGCAGTCAAGCGAAAGCAAAACCTTTCCATCTGCAGTTGTTTACTTTGAAAACCAAACCAGTTTCCCTTGATGTCAGTGACCTCAGGGAGAGCAAGATTTGGTGCTTATTGGAGTACCGGAGGAGGTGCCACTGCCATCTTTCCCTTTGGATAGAAGGGCTTCAGCACTGAGTTCCACTGATTTAACTAAAATAGAGACTTCACTCTGTTTTCATTCAGCTAAACCAATGCAAGTTTATGTGGAGACTTTGTCTAATGATCATAGGGTCTGTCTTCTGCTCTTTTTGTGAAACTGCCATCACGAAGGGGATGAAGCAAAAGATGTATCCACTGTGACTTGTCCTTCTGGAAGGGACTGCCAACATAGACCACCCCCTGGTCTATTTGTCATCTAACCCTGCAAAGAGTGGGCTTGGACCACGTGGTGTCTAAAATTCCACTGGCCACCCAGAGGCCTTCTTTCACTAGGCTCCCTTTCTTACTACCATTGGTAGTAGGAATAGTAAGAAACATTAAGACAAAAAGACTAACACAGACAAGGCCAAAAGGAAGGAGTGGACAGGATAGGGGCAATACCAGATCACCAAGGCACAGAAAATGTTCTAATGTGCATCTAAAGATACACCGTCATGTGGCCCCTGTTGAATAGCATTGTGGTTGCTCTGGCTAACCTTGATAATCATTTTTCTACTGCAATTATCAGTCTAAGTGGGTAGGTGGGACAGCAGGCCTGTTATGGCTTTTATCTTCCCAGAACCTGGGAACAAAGCCCATCGAGGAGGAAACTGGCTTGACCAGTTGGGGGGCTGTGTATGTAACGGTTAGGGAGTTCAAAGGAAAAGGATGCAACAGTCAAATTCACAAACACATCTGGGGTTCAACTGATAAAGTTGCATTTTTCAGTGAAAGACAGTCTTAAAGGGACGTTGTCAAGTGGCCAAAACCAATGTTAGTTTTGTTTAAAAACAGGAAAGAGACTTCCATGAAGACTAATAGGAACCAAAATGGTTCCTCTGTGGTTTTGCATATTCCAGACAAACCATGACTGTTCCTATCAAGGATGACCAATTTCTGTTTGCACAATGCATTGGCTAGTTTCCACTTTCTTCCTCAAACTGGTTCTTGCTATTTAAAAGGGTTTTCAGTGGAGCTGAGATGAGGGGCCCAGTGTTTTTATCCAGATGACACCTGGGATGGTGCCCAATCATGTGATGACAACATTGTGCTGGTCTATGAAACATGGGAAGTGAAAGCAGGCAGGTGATGGTCTGGGCTGAAAGAAATGCAGAAAGCAAACCAACTGCTTTTCCAGTTAAAAAGTCAGGGAGGGCTACCAGTTGATTTCAGTGTCAAGATTAGAAAGTATGGGGCTTCATGCTCATGCACAGTGCTTGCTCACAGTCAACTGCATTATGTTAACGGTTGTATTTATTTGCACAAGGTAAGGCATTAATTTGAGTGGAGACTTGCACCTGATTCTTTAAAAGTCAGAGCCTCAGAAAGCATGTTGCACACTAGAGGTTGCAGTAGGAATATACCACAGGTGCTACAGTTCTGGGGCTACAGACCAAGAGAAGTGAGATCCCAGGGATTTGACGGGGATAGTACCTGCACCCCACGCCCAGTGCAGGGTCCTTGCTGAAGAGCCTATAGAATCCAAGGATTTGTGTCGACACATTTTTCCCTGGTTTAAAAAAACTGTAGTTAAGTTGAAGAAAATCCTGTGAGGATGAGTATACATTATATTCAAGTGGGTTCTCAGGATGGTTTGTACACTGCCACTACTACAATGCTAGCGATAACTGAACTATCTAGTTTTAAAAGAGCTCAAGTACATCTACACCAGCTACCCGTACACCTTTGACTGCCCTGTAGATGAGACGCAAGGTCTCTGTTGTAGAACAAAACCCTAAAACTGAGTTCCCCAAGAGCGGCGTCGAGAGACGTAACAACCAGACCACCTTTTCTTTGCTAAGGGCTGTATCCGTGCTTCTTGGAATTTCTTTGAGCCTCACACTAGGGATTTTCTTGGAGATTTCTTCTTTAGGATGAAATCTAGCTGAAGTCTAGCAGCGAGTGTAATACAGTGAACAAAGAGCAAGAGAATGTCAGTCTGACAGCAGCACTGAAAGAAACTATTGAAATGAACTCTCTGGCTGGGGTTCGCTACCCATGAATGCAGTTACCTGTAGATCCTCATGTGCTGCAGGAACGAAATGCAAGGAAAAAGACTGCTAACACAAAAGCCAAACTCCCTTCCCAGCTTAGACGACGATGCCTTCTGGAGAAGCAGTGTAGAAGTGGAGGAACTTGCATACAGTGCCATTGCCAGACCGTTATATCCTGTGGACAAGGACATCTTTGTTTCCCAGGCCTGTCACTGAGCCCATAGCCTACATTTATGGCATTGCTGCTGCTCCCGTAGCTACGATGGTGGGCACCCTTGATATAGACACAGCTCGGCCAGAAGAAGGAGCCTTTCCTAACCCTACCTGACACCACTGTGACACAAGAACCTATAGATATGGACAAGACCTCAGTTGACTTGAGAGTTCGAGAAGGAATAGCATTAGTTGGAGGCTCAGTGTATACCTAGCCACAACAAGTAGCACACCGGTTTTGTTGGACTTGCCACGACATCTCATGAAAAGCTGAACTCACATGTGATATAAGCAGCAGAGAAATGTTTTCAAATGAACCCAGCTTCTGATGAATGGTTTTGAAGAACATGTTGGTTTGGCCTTGCAAGGTCCCTGTGCTGGAAGTGTTTATCAGCGGGGAGCTGTCATGCTTTTCAAGTGCTAGAAAAGATTTTGTTTGCAGCCCAGAATCTCTGTCTGTATAGAATAATGTTTGCCGTTTGGAGAATTGTTGTTTCTAACCAAGATAATTTTTCCCTAGTTTTATCGCATGTGAGAAAACAAGTGGACCTTGAATTGCATTTTAATGTCAGATTTCAATTATATGGCTATAACAAAAGGTTACTTGGAGGTATTTCATTATCCTTTTGTTGACACGTCCTTGTCTAATGTTTGTTGCTTGAGATCTCCATTTTCTCTACTTTTGTTTGTTTTCTGAAAGGCCTAAATTAGAGAGAGTGCTTGTGTGGACTGAGGAAACAAAAGGGCAAGCTACATGCAGCCATAAAGAGATACTGAAAACCTATGGAATAACAAGCCTCTGCTGAACAGGGGTGACCAGCATCTTATTAAACCTTTTGAAGTTGTCACATCCAGGCTAGAGAGTGTTCTGACACTTCCTCTTGGCTCCACAAATTTTTAAGCTTGATGCAGAAATTGCTGGGGAAATTCTGCCATCTGTTTATTATGCAGGAGGTCAGAGGAGATGATTTCAGTGGTTCCTTTTGGCTTAAAAAATGTACAAAACGGTGATTCATCTTCTGAGCCTGGTCTGCTTTCAGAGCTTCGAGAAGGATTTGTCTTGGGAGAGTGAGACCAGCAGAACCGATCCATTCTTCTGTTGTCCTTTCATGATGCCACTGAGTGAAAATTGGACCTGGTGTGCAAATGTCAATATGGGTGGCAAAAGCAACTCCACCTTGACTTTTATTTTTTTAGGGGTCTCCCACAACCACAGGAATTGAGCTGCCTCATGCCAGTCCTGATTCTAAAGAAATCTAAGGGCCAACTCATCACCACAGGTTAACTGATGACTGCCTGCCAAGCTGCCGTATACCATGTGATATCACAGTGAAGCACATCTATATCTGCCCTTGTTACTGCCCATAAGCTTCATCCAGAGACTGCCAAACCCATAGCCACAGGAAACTAGAAAGGACAGTGAGAAAGCTACTTGCCTATATACATTAAAAAAAAACAAACAACTTCCTGAACAAAATAAACTCTAGCTTTTCTGTAGCAATGGAAAATTCTTGAGTATGTATTTAATAGTGGACTAATTTCAGAGAATGAGAGAAAATCATGTAACAGTGGCTCCTTTCTCTCAGATGTGCAGCCTGAAGTGATTGTGAAAGTCACAAGTGCACAGAAATGAGTACTATCTAGTTACAGCTCATTTTTCCCCTGCTTATGCAGCTAATGGCTCCAGTCTGACCCCTACCCCAATCCTTTGTTCTACCAGTTCAGCCAATAACTTTGAGCAGTGTAACTCACGTGGGGCATAACTTTACTGCAGATCTATCTGAGGAGTCATTCCTAATAATTTCCTCTCCATCTATAAAGAGCTGAAACCAGTTTTTGGTGGTTCTTTAAACCCAAGCCCATTGGCTTGTCTGGATGATAGGATCCTTTGTAGTGAGGATGTAAGCGAAACCACTCCAGTACAGTGTATTGTGAGGAGAAGTTACTATTACAGAATGAATGGAATCACATGGTTGAATGGTCACAGTTGCAACCACATGTGTTTTAATCCAGCCAAGTGCAAAATACTTCATCTGGGAACCAAGGATGTAGATTATATATGTAGCCTGGAAGAGACTGTCTCGGAAATCAGTGACATGGAAGAAGACTATAGATAGCCATCTTATGGTGCAATTCCAGAGGGAAAAGATCATTGCAATTCTGGGGTGTGTTACATGGGGGAAAAACAAGCAAAAGTAAGGACATAGCTGTACTTCTGAATGCACCATAGGTAAGGCCACTACAAGAGTCCTCTGTCCAGTTCTGATACCTTCTCCAAAACTGTGGAAACACTACAAGGAGCTGAGAGGACAGCTGCAAAATTTATCCATGGCCTGGAGAGCAAGGTTAAACAGCTCAACTGTTGAGTTTATCACAAAGTAGACTGAGAGGTGAGTTGATCTCTGGGCATAGGTGGTTGGGAGGTAGTGGAAGGTTTTTCAGTCTTGCAGAAAGGGCATGAGATCTAACAGCTGGAAGTGGGTGATATACGTTTAATTTGACCTTGAAAGAAGATGCAGTTTCCTGGAAGCAAAAGAATTAAATATTGGAATAGCTTAGCAGGGAAGTTGATGGCCTTACTATAGCTTGGAGTCTTTGACATGAGATATTAGGTAGCTTTCTTTGAAATGTGGGTAATATAGTTTCTGGGAGAGCAGGGTTTTGTACACTGCTTTCAGTGTATCCCTAATACATGCTGTTCTGCATTAGGACAATGACTATTATCAAACATCATACTGCAGAAGCCAGGAAAGGGGCCTTTGCCTTCTTCTGAAGTATCTGACATTGGCCACGACTGAGGAGGGAAAGGTGGACTGGAGCTGCTAAATTATGTAAAGGATCCTTTCTCTTGGGTGTCTGACCACTTCTAGTGCATCTTGCTCACATGGTGAGGGGTCAAACTAATTGCTGGGAATGAATTTTTCACAAATCAGATTGGCAGAGACCGTGGCAATTTTTATGCCTTCTTTACAGACCTAGGCAGTTTTTTTGCAAAGTGTCCTGATGTCATGGAAGGTCTGTAGGTTTAAACTGGTTCCAAATGGTACTTTCGCATGCTGCCGCATTATTTTTCTGCAGCAAAGTGACATTCAGAAAAAAATGAGATTCTGTCCTGCATTTGAAAACTTCTTAAAAATAGTTTCCTTCCATTGATCCGGATGAAGAAGGAGAAAGTGGAGCACCAACAGGAAATGCCTTTCAAAGTCCTTTTTGATCAATGCATTTGGTTGGATAATGAGTTTTTATCCTTTGCACCCCACTGTATGTTATTCCTTCACACGCAACCACTCCCCCCCCCAAACACACCTCAACTTTGTCTCCATGAGGAAGACTTTGTAAACTTTTCTTAACATTAGTTTGGCTTTACTGTCATGAGAAATGTGGGAGCTTGAGCCCATAATGGGTCCCTGCAATGCACAAAAGAGCAGCAGCTGTATTCTCTGCTATTAAAAGGAATTGAACAGGTGCTAGCAACTTTGGCAATATCTTGCTGAATGCCCTAGTGTAGACACAGCTTAAATGACTCAAAACTAGTGGCAGTGAAACCCAGAAAGAAATTCCATGCTAGTTCATGACCTTATCTATGTCTCCTTTATCCTAAGCATCCCATAGAATTGGGAGGAGAGGTGGGGAGAATAGGATCATAGGAAAGTAGGGCCAGAAGGGACTTCACAAAGTCATCTAATCCAACCCCCTGCTCAATGCAGGATCATCCCTGACTAAATCATCCCTTCCAAGTGTCTATCCAACTTGCTCTTGAAAATACCAAAGATGGAGATTCCAGTTTCCTAGGTAGCCTGTTCCAATGACTTTGACCACCCTCGTGGTCAGAAAGTTCCTCCTAATCTCCAACCTAAATATCCTCTGTTGCATCTGGAGTCCCTTGCTCCTAGTCCTATTCCGTACTACCACAAAGAAAAGCCTATCTCTGTTCTCTCTATAGTTACCCTTCAGGTACTTAAGACTGTTATCAACTTCTCCCACAGTCTTGTCTTCTCCAGGCTAAATAACCCTAGCATTTTCAGCTGCTCCTTATAACTGTTGCTTCCCGGGCCCCTAATAATTCTTGCTCTGAACTGAACTCTTACCAACGTGTTCACACCCTTCTTGAAGGGCAGGTCCAGAACTGGGCACAGGTGAGGCCTCACCAGTGTTGAATAGAGAAGAATCACTTCCCGTGATTTTTCAAGTGGCACTCCTGTTAATACATCTTTGAGTCTAGGTAAAAGAAACTAAGGGCCAAATTCTCAGCTGATATAAATTGGCTCTGTTGAACATAAGGAGCTACAGCAATTTACAACAGCTGAGGATTTGTCTCCGCAGGACATAAGACAATCAGTGGGACTGTATGTGCCATGTAACTCTGTATCCAGATAACAGATACCTCCTTCCTTTTGTGGGCAGGTACATGTATATAAGCCAAAATCTGCAGTGGTAGTTCCCACTGTATCCTGATTTTTTTTTAAAACCAAAGTGTCAAACTTTCCCCCCAGAATATGCATTCAAACAGTCCCCCAGTGATCTAAATCTGTAAGAGCTGCATTTGGCAATAGCACTGAGCCAAACATGTAGCATGAACACTTGCCATGCCTGGCATTTACTGGCACGCACAGGCCATATTGTAATTCTCTTTGTGGGGCATTGCATTGCCACAAAAGTACAAAATGGTATAACAAAATTATGAACCAACTGTAGCGATTGTTTTTCCACATCACCCACAGACCATGATTTTATGCTTTTCTTTTTTAATTTGTAGGAATAGTCAAGGTACGATTCACTTTGCATTATTTGTCACTAGCTGATGGATGACACTTTTTTCACTTAAAGGAAAACAATGTGATTATAAACAAATGTGTATGTTTCTCGAGCCTTCCATAAAATGTGTATTATGAGTTACTACAGCATCTTTAGGAGAACGTTGTTTCTTGGGGATGTGGGGGGAGGGATATAATTTACCCTTAATTTCATCATCCTTTTGACTGTATTAAATGTATTTTGCCCAAATGATTAAAAAAAAAAATCCTGTCTCTGTGTAATTTCTCACATTACTTGAATCTTTCTGATGAATCAATGCAAAATGGAGGGGGAAAAAAGCAGAAAAAAATGTCAAAACTTGTTTGGATTAGAACAAAGAATTTTTTTTGTTTTGAATTGAATCGAATTGACTTCAGATGACAGTTTTTCACTCCAAGTCATTAGGTAGAAAAATCAGAAGATTCCATGGAAAATGTTGAATGTCTAGTTTTTAGCCAGCCCTAAAATGATACTGTAACCTCACTTACATGAAATGGAAACCTTGCTGACATGACATAAGTGCCATTACTTAAACTTTTGAAAACTGGATTAGAATACTGGCAGATGTGCCACAAAAAGCAGGTCTGTGCTGGGAGGGGATATAGATTTAGGGATGCTGGAGGGCCGTGTCTTGTCTCTGATTTCTGCTGTTCTCGGCAGATAACGTCGGTGCCATTTGAAGAATCTCAACGCACTTAGGGGTCTGCTGTGCCATTGTCTTCTACACTTCTACATAGCAGCTCCGATCTCTCTTTCTCTGCCTCTCTCTCCAAATGTTTTTTGAAGAGACGTATCCTCTGCTTCATATA